AGCTGCTTCCAGCTTTATTTGTGAAGAGCACAGCAGCTTACAAAATCACGTAGCTAGCTCGTACAGCTGCCACGTAAAAAAATTCATAAGCTAAGATGACCTTAAAATAACGGGGCTACGTGCGGTGATGCTAGCGTTAGCCATGTTAGCACGTCACCTTCAACAGGTGGTCAGACTGCATAAACAGGCACTCAGTCAGAGGTTGCGCTCTCCATTTCGCTGCAGGGTCCCTTCATTCTTCACATATCCGTGTTGAGCCGAGTGAACGGCCTTTGTACAAGTACACACGCTTAGCAGGGCGAAGCTATGGGCTAGAAAAATCCAGGCAGACAGCCTGTGTCTGTCCAACCAATCAGAAAGAGAGGGAAATGGATTTTGAAATGCAGTTTATTATAGTGCAATTGGAAAAAGGTTTTTGAAATGAAGTTTATTACATTGGAATTCAAAAATGTTTTTTGAAATGAAGTTTTTAAAAAGCATTTTAAAAATCAGTTTATTAAATTGGAATTCAAAAATGAATTTACAAATGGAGAATTTATTCTACAATTCATTATTTTGGCTCTTGTGATCCTCTTGTGTGGGCATGTGTGGAAGCACATGTGTATGAGTGTATACTGAGGGGAAACTGCACGCCCGAGAATGTGGAAGAAATACAAAACAATTAAAGCTCTGTTAAGAGAGTGCAGTGCTGGCAGGCATCTCATATCAGGTGCAGCAGAGACCCAACAATGGAATGCTCTGAGGTGGTGAGCAGATCGATGTCAGACGTCTCACTTGTCATGAAAAAGGCCCAGATGCTTCACTTGATGGACAGTCTGGACACATTAGCCATTCAAAATGGACACAAGTCATGAGAAGGTCAACTTGATGCCTTCAACCTTGCATGAAATGCCTGCAATTTCAAATGACTGCATAGTTAAATAATGCTGCTGTTTCAGTTAGGTTGCTAAAGGCTGTGAAGTAGACATCAGAATGTTGTTAGCCGTGTTTTAAAATACGCTCTTTTCTAAGCTAACTTCCTGTTCAGCTGAAATCTTCTTGGTTTCCAACAGTGTTTGGGCGTTTCAGCAGTGTGTGTGTGTGTGTGGGAATTTCAGTAGTGTGTATTAGAAAGTTTCAGTAATGTTTGTTTGAGTTTCAGTGGTGTGTTTGTGAAAGTTTCAGCAATATTTGTCAGATAGTTTCACTAGTGCAAGCACTTCCGTAATAATGTCCCTAGCGCCGCCTCACACTCTAGCGGTATTTCCTCTTTATTCATCTAAAGCGGAACTCTGAACAAGTGCAACAACTACTGGGAGAGAAGTGGTGCAGCAAAGAGGCGCTGAGAGGAGGAAAAGGAAAGCATCAGGCACAAACAGACAGTGAGGGAGAGAAAGCGAGGAAGGAAAGGTCTGTGTGTGTTTGTGTGTGCTGGTGTACGTGTGTGTGTGTGTGTGTGTGTGTGTGTGAGGACACTTACATTTAACATAGTTTCATGCTTATAGGAAGTGAAATTCTCTGTAAACCACAGAGATGACTGTGTAAAGAAAACCCGGACCAGCCTATCGGGCACCAACAACCATGCCACATTCAAAGTCGCCTTTCTCCACCATCCTGATTAGCTTAGGTCATCATCACCATGTCGACCTGACTAAATGCACTGACTTGTTGTAATGTGATTGGTTGTTAATAATAGTATATTAAATAGTGCTTCTTTTGTGGCAATCATATCAAGAAATAATGTTTCCAAATCTCAGTAACTGTCTGCTGATTTGCTTTGCTACATCAGACTAATGCAGGTAATACATCTCTAAGATATTTTTTAGTATTCTTGGCCAGGAAAAGCTTATACAAAGCAACTGTGGCTATGAGGAATCTGCGATGCATATCAGCACATATTGCGTTTTGTTATTGCAATTAAATTTTGTTATATTATTCTGATTAAAGGTTCCTTTCAGTTTATCCTTTCTCAGGGACATGGAAAAGCAAAAAGGTAAGAAAAAAAGTTAATATTATTAAGGAGAACAAGCTACACTTGGCAATTACGATAGAGAACATTTCTAACTGCTTTTTTTTTTTAATCTTATGATTAACTGAGTGTGCAGATAATTGTGATTGGAGTTTCCCCCTTATTTCAATAACTTTGAGCTACACAGGTCACACTGATGATGTAGAACTTTTAAAAACTCACATTTATAATATGGTACACTTGGTGTTACAGGATAAAAAGGAAGTAACTATAGAGGCCAAACCCTGGCTTCTGGTGAACTGGATATGTGATCACTTGTAGTATAGAGATTGCTGACAGTCTCTGTGAAATCCATTGCT